AAAAAAAAAAAAAAAAAAAAAATGCGATCCCTGAGAAAGTCATTCTTTAGCATTTCTTCATCACTGTCCACAGCAAGGCATACTAACCCCTCTGCATGGTGGCGTTCCTTGAAGACACAAACCATATCGTGTCCATCTTTTCACTGTTAGCTCCTAGGACAGTTCCAAGCATATTAGAGAAGTTCAATGCATTTTGTGGGGCTGAACTGGATACCCATGCAAGCAAAGTCACACAGACATCCTCACAGACCTGGGAAAGACGGCTCAGGCCAAAACAGCATCTCATGTGGAGATCCTCCAATGAACCCACATTCCTGGTTTTGCACTTACTGAAGAGCCTTCTCTGCTATGTGTGGTTGAGTCCTAGGGGTCACTCCAGTTACTTCTCATGATGTAACTGAATCCACTGTCATTCTTGCTTGTCAGCCTTTTGTGAAGCTCATCAGCGGGGAATCGGCCCCATGGGCCTGGGTGAACAGATGTAACTGAACCTCCTTAGATGAAGTCCAGGGAACAAGCTCTTGGGATGCCCACAGGTACGGCCATATCAGAAAACACCAGCTGACCTTCCTCCACTTTCTCATAGATCGTGGTACAGGGTATTTGGAAAATGAATTGTACCCCATATTTGCAATGAATGGGCTTCAGGACTGCATTCTTACCTCTGTAATCCCCATACAGGCTAGGAAGGAGGATGTGATTGGCCCAGGGATAGAAATCCTGAAGAAGTTGGATTTCCGAGAATCGGGGCGAAAAGGTCTTCCGGATAGCTTGGTGGAGGTAAAATCTATTGGAGTTCTTTACAGAGCAGATTGCAGTCATCAACAGGGTAAGGAAAAGGATTTGTACTAGTTTAAAAGAGGAAAAAAATGTCATAGTTGAGTGGTTAACTTAGAAATCCTCTATGTCTTTTTCTTCATTTTTCCTAAGTCTATAGACTTATGCAGGTCAAAACCAGTCAAAAATTGGCAGTTTCATATGGTTCAGTCTAATAATTATAAATACACAC